CTAGTTACCTCCAGCCACAGGAAATGTGTCCACCTACTGCCATCTTTGTTGTGATTTTCAACACAGAAGAAAACGTCTGACTTACGGGCTATTCATGCCCGTGCCACCTCTTGGCTGGCTTAATCTTCATCAATCACTAGTCTAGGACACATCTCCTGTGCCAGGTAAGTACTACGGGGTCACCATAGCCCGTGCTGCTTGCAACGGTTTGTTCCCAGTAGCTGAATCTAAAACAACATTATTGGCCGAGAGCGATGCTGGTATATTGTGGTGAGGCTAATATAAGATTCCCGCTTCTCTTTCGATATCATTTTCAAATCTGGAACTTCCTCGTTGATATCTTGTGACCGTCTAGATGTTGCGGACCAGTCCGGTCATTTGTTCAGCATCATGCACACTTCCCGGTGATTGGCTGGAAATGGTCAGTTCCCGGTGATTAGCTGGAAATGGTCAGTTCTCGGTGATTGGCTGGAAATGGTCAGTTCTCGGTGATTGGCTGGAAATGGTCAGTTCTCGGTGATTGGCTGGAAATGGTCAGTTCCCGGCGATTGGCTGGAAATGGTCAGTTCCCGGCGATTGGCTGGAAATGGTCAGTTCCCGGTGATTGGCTGGAATATGTTGATCACTTCCTGTGTCTTCTTCCCCTACCAAGTCCCTCCCCCGCGTGTGTGTGGGGGGGGGGGGGGGAGGGGAGGGGAGGTACTAACGACCCTGCTGGACGACTTCCTGGCCAACCCGTCCTCCTCATAGCACGTCGCATTTTGACGTATACTCCATCTATGGGCGAAAATTGTCGTACTGGGAATGGTAGCGGCTCGCGAAATCGACATAATATCCCGTTTTCTGCTCGCGGGTCCTCTTGTAGGTTAGGATAGAGGCATTTTAGTACGACAGTTTCTTGACGATGTGAATGCTGGCGAGAACGGGCAATGTGTCTTGGGGAGTGGGGAGGTTCCAGGTGTGTATGTACAGGTGTGGGGGAGCCATATATGGAGCAGCAGCAGCTGCAGGTGGCCAGCCAAGCACAACCAGAGCGTCGACTTAATGTGTACTGCTCGCTCTTGTTCTTCTCGTCTGTTGCTGCTAGTCTCTTGTTCTCATTAGATTCATCCAACCACTTGCGCTGGACGGTAGAGCGACGGTCTCGCTTCATGCAGGTCGGCGTTCAATCCCCGACCGTCCACAAGTGGTTGGGCGCCATTGCTTCCCTCCGTCCCATCCCAAATCCTGACCCCTTCCAAGTGCTATATAGTCGTAATGGCTTGGCGCTTCCCCCTGATAGTTCACTGCCTCTTAAGATTCCGCTTCGTGATCTAAGACCACTCGGAAGAGTTCTTCTTGTTATCCACTGTTCTTCTCCAACCAAATTCAAAATGTTTTTTCAAAAATTCAAATTAAAAAACCGTCATTAGTGTTCACGAGATCGTAATTACCCGTCGATGATAATGATGAAGCTCTTCAGATGATATAATTCTAGTCATTATGTACAATGTAAGGTTTCCGTTATTTTGGCGATTTGAAGTTCGCGGTGTAATTCAAACTTATTTATTTTATATAATTTTAAACTACCGTTATACTTGAATGCAATAAATATCCGCCTCTGAAATTTAACACTTATTTATCGTTATTGCCTGGTATTTGAAAGTAGTTATTGCTTTTTTAATGGAGAGTTTCCGTTATTTTTTTTCTCTCGTTTCTTAATTCTGCCACTTGATAACGTTTCGTAAGTGTTGCCATATCCAGCTGTTGGCCTCGTTGCTTGCAAGACGGTGTTGCCAATATAGTATGACAACTTATGACTACAGTGTCCTCGTCATCTTGAGGTGTGTGTGTACTCACCTATTTGTACCTGCAGGATCGAGCGTTGCCTCTTGAACCCCGCCTTTCTAGCCTTCGGTTGTTTAGAGCAATGACTCCTGCCCTTCTTCTCTATCATACCTAGTTTTAAAGCTATGAATAGTGTTTGCTTCCACAATGTGCTCCTTAAGTTCATTCCATTTTCCCACTTCGCTCACGCTAAAAGAAAACTTTCTAACATCTCTATGATTCATCAGAGTTTCCAGCCTCCACCTGTCATCTTGTTCTGTTGGTATTCTGTGGGTAACCTTCACATCGAATTCCATTTATCCAGGTCATCTTGAGGGATAAGATACTTAGTGATCTAAGTCACTTATCTTCCCTATAATAAAAAGAGCAGCTTTTGTTGCTTGCAGGAATGGATCCAGATTGTTAATCATGGGAGACTTCAACCATGGAAAGATTGAGTGGGAGAATAGAGACCCACATGGAGGACCAGATACTTGGAGAACTAAAGTATTTGGACATAGCAACAAGAAACTTTCTAAACCAACGCGTCAAGGGACCCACAAGAATGAGAGGGAAAGATGAACCAGCTAGGCTTGACCCTGAACGAGTCAGACATAAGGAAGTTAGAAGCTCATGGGAATGGGAGACCACAATGTACTGATATATGAGTACCTACTGGAGGTAAGGGGTATCCTTCCACAAAAAAAACAAAGGGCTGGTGTAATGAAAACTTTGAAGAGATGAGAACATTTCTTACATGGGAAAATAGAGTAAAGTCTGCACAAGACATGATGGATTATGTCACACAAAAGTGTTAGGAGGCAGTAAACAAGTTTATCCCAGTCCAAAAGGTAAAAAATGTAAAGCAAAGGAGGAATCCGTAGTTTAATTGGCATGTAAGGAAGCAAGGTATACAATCACCTTGTATAATAAGTCGCTAGAAACAGGAGACCTACCAGAAATATGGAAGACAGCTATTTTGTATACCATGCAAGTTGATGGAGAAGATCATGAGAAAAAACCTATTAGCACATCTGGAGAGAAGGGACTTCGTGACACACCACCAACATGGGTTCAGGGATGGCAAATCTTGCCTCACAGGTTTAACAGAATTCTATGGCCAGGTAACAAACATTAAGCAAGAGAAGGGTAGACAGACTGCATTTTCTTGAAGCAGGGCCAGAAGCTAAAGCTCGTCCTATAAACTATTAGGTAAGAACACGTATAGTCGAAAGGCAGGTCCCTGGAGCTAATGCTCGCCCCCAAACACTGTTAGGTAAGGTAAGGTAAGACCAGAGAGGAGATACGGTGCCTGCCCCCTGGAGCATACACGGAGGGAGCCGAGTAACGGGTAGGTCACTGGAACCCGTCTCACTTAGCTGGCTTACCGGCCCTAGTGAGTTTCCTGTCTGTCGCTGGCTACCTGGGGGCTGGTAGCTCAGCTGGTTCGATCACCCCGGGGGCCTGGTCATCCCGGGGCCTGATCACCCGGGTTCTGGTCCTTGGGGTCGTCAGATATATCTGTTAAGAAGTAAACTTGCAGGTACGACAACCCCCTGGCGGTCCACTGCTATACCTGTAGACTCCCCAATCCAAGCGTTGTTGGCAGGTCTGTGTATTATGCCGTTACAGTCTGGGGTACAGGTGTAGGCGAGGCAACACGGATGACATTGCCGCCATTCTTATCCTCGACCAGTGCTGCGAGTAAATTGGTGAGAGATCCTATTAGAGTACTCAAGACTCCACTGGGATTCATGATCTGAAATTCACTGAAGGAGCCGTCCAGTTGGACACTTGCCAACTCTAAACCATGACCAACTTTTCCAGGTGACTGCTAACAGCTCAAATGGGATAACCAAATACAGAGCACGCCGCCTCGCTGTGCAAGCATGAGCGGGACTTCCTGTTGGTCATCCCTAATTCCGCCTTAGGCACCCGCCTGGACCATTGGGCCATTGGTGTTGTCCTGCACCTTGCCGCCCGTCTCCACTGAACACCGGTGTATCTGCTTCTATGCGTCAGCAGACCAATACGTCAGCCATGGTCTCATCTGTTGCGAGACACAGGGAATGATTGCTAAACATAGAGCGGTCAGTGACATCATCAAGAGAAGTTTGGCTACAGCTGGGTGCCCAGCACAATGGGAACCTCAAATATTCAGACCTGACAACAGTCAAACGCTCAGATGGAGTCACCCTGCAGCCATGGAGGGATAGTAAACAGGTTGTGTGGGACTACACGTACTCACCTAGTTGTGCTTCGGGTTCTTTAGCCTTAACAGCCTTCTACGCATACAAATTTTCTTGAACCAGGAGTCCGACTAACTCTTATAGCATTAAGACACGAGAACCTCCTCCTCCCTCCGATCCTAACCTTGCATTACACAAAGGACTCTGCCATTACGCTGCTATGCAGTAACTGTTGTTTCACTACTGTGATGAAATTAACTTTCTCATTTTGGTGGTGAATTATGAAGAATCTCTCAACACTTAAAGATACTCCGCCCGCACTTGTAACTGATGATGTCTTGTGTTTATCTCTCACCATTTGTCCCCCTTACCTAGTGTTGATTTAGCGAGGATTGTTTTGCAGGCGAGGAGTCACAATAACGTGGCTGAAATATGTTGACCAAACCACACACACTAGAAAGTGAAGGGACGACGACGTTTCGGGCCGTCCTGGACCATTCTCAAGTCGATTGTGACTTGAACAATCGACTTGAGAATGGTCCAGGACGGACCGAAACGTCGTCGTCCCCTCCAACTCAACCCGTTCTCGCAAATTCGTAAAGTCAATATTGACTTATTAACTACGTGCATAGGTGATATACTAAACATAATAGATACCCTTAAAAAAATTCATAGAAAACACCGACCTTACCTAACCTTGTTAGTATCTTAAGATAAGCATCTTATTGCTTTAATTACAATTATTACTTAACCTATACCTATTATAGGTTAGGTAATAATTGTAATTACGAAGCAATAAGATGCTTATCTTAAGATACTAACAAGGTTAGGTAAGGTCGCTGTTTTCTATGAATCTTTTTAAGGGTATCTATTGTTAAGTATGTCACCTATGCACATATTTAATAAGTCAATATTGACTTATTAAATTTGCGAGAACGGGTTGTCACTTTCTAGTGTGTGGTTTGGTCAAGAGGATTGTTTTGACCAGTTGTTCTCTTTTTGCAGGAGTATGGGCCAACCTGCCGCCCTCGTTCACCGCGGACATGAACCTTCACGTGGTGAGCGAGGATACTCCCGTCGGGGCGGCTGTGTACACGCTAAAGGGCTCCGACCCCGAGGGCGGCCCCGTCAGGTACGGCCTGAGCGGCTCCGACAGGCTCAGAGTGGACCCTAACACCGGTGTGGTCACCATCGCCAAGCCCCTGGACCGTGAGGTGGGTTGGTGGTGGGAGGGAATGTGGGAAGGAAGGGAGGGAGGGAATGTGGGAAGGGAGGGAGGTTGGTGCTGAGGGAGAAAATGGAGAATAGTTAATTACAGTAGTCATAATAGCTTAGTACTTTCTCCTAATAATTACCTTACCTTTCATTTTTCAACCCGTTCTCGCAAATTTAATAAGTCAATATTGACTTATTAAATATGTGCATAGGTGACATACTTAACATAATAGATACACTTAAAAAGATTCATAGAAAACACCGACCTTATCTAACCTTGTTAGTATCTTAAGATAAGCATCTTATTGCTTCAATTATTACCTAACCTATAATAGGTATAGGTTAAGTAATAATTGTAATTACGAAGCAATAAGATGCTTATCTTAAGATACTAACAAGGTTAGGTAAGGTCGGTGTTTTCTATGAATCTTTTTAAGGGTATCTATTATGTTCAGTATATCACCTATGCAAGTAGTTAATAAGTCAATATTGACTTTACGAATTCATTTTTCAAATGTGTGGATTTTAGTTTTCCAGTCTTCTTGTGTATTTTTTTGTATTTATATTTTTTAAGTATGTGTATTTTTATTTATAAAATTTACAGTATGTAATACATGCTACAAGAAAGACTAAAATATTACAGGGATATTGGATCTAATATTAGATCATTATATAGTGAGTTTCATAACAAAATATCAAAGTTGAATGCGAAATGTATGGATACAAAGTATGGGTGTTAAGGTCTACAAGATGATACAGTAGTTTACATGTGACCCATTTAGTTCATTTATTATGCACCCCATACCCATCTTGTGGGTGCGATACCTCATCCCTTTGTGTGTATTTTACCTCAATAAACCTATTTCAATTTCAATTTCACAGCTCAATGACACCTTGCGGCTGGTGGTGATGGTAGAGGACGAGGTCAAAGGTGCAGACAACAACGTGGTGAGGATCCCCATCTCACTCATTGTCCTCGACACCAACGACAATCCTCCCAAGTTCCTTCAGGTAAGCTGTGTTGTTTTGCTTCTATTTAGCAAGTTGTCATTAAAAATAAGGCCTAGGGTGGGCATGGGAGTAAACAAACTCATAGAATGACCTCCATATGGTCAAGGTACTTATTCTGTGGTTCATAACTTGAACAATGTCATTTGAGTGTGATGCAGTGATATCTCGATCACCCTACATCTTGCAAGCAATTTCTGCCGGGTTAGAGCCCTAGGCAAGGAGGGTCAGCCGGGCACCAACCCTTAACAGCAGTAATTAGGGACTCGGTTGTAACTGAGTCTCTAATTACCTCCTTGAAACAACCTGCTCTGTTTAGCAGGTTGTTTCAGACAACTTATCTCCAAGGATAACTACTGCAGTAGGGTAGTAGGGAACGGCTTAAGATAAGCTGTGGAAAGGGAAAACTCGAAGGCTGCTGACAAGAGTCAGCAGTCATTTTCTCCTGTATAAAAAAATAGTATTTTTTATATATATATAATTCCGTGATAACTGTAAATTAATCACTCGTCAGTGTAGTTAATTTCATTGCAGGTATTCATTAATTGTTTGTGTTCTCACCAGTATGGATCCTTGCTAACATGGTTTCTCATCAGTGTGGATCCTTGCTAATATGGTTTTTTACCAGTCTGGATCCTTACTAACATGTTTTCTCACCAATGTGGCTCCTTGCTAACAGGCCTTCTAGTTGGTCGTCTTGTCAACTAGGCTGTTGGGCGCAGCTGCTCACAACCTGGCATATGAATCACAGCCTGGTTGATCAGATGTTCTTTGGAGGTGTTTATCGAGTTCTTTCTTAAATAATGTGAGAGACCAGCCAGTTATGCCCCTTATGTGTAGTGGGAGAGTGTTGAAAAGTCTTGAGCTCTTGATGTTGATCTCCTTCAGCGTACCTATTGCACTTCACGTTTTCAATGGGGCTGTTTTGCACATCTTGCCATGCCTACTGGTTTCATGTGATGTAATCTCCATGTTCAGATTTGAAACTAGTCCCTTGGTGACTGGAGGAGCAACATGGATTATATGCAACCTGCTGTATTCTCCATACCAAGCAGCCAGCTGAGTGAATATCAAGTAGTCATGCTCAGCATTGTGTTAGAAGAGATCCTATTGTTTGTGCTAATCGACATTAGTTTAGATGTGGATGTTTGTCTTGACAAATGGAGTCAAGTGCAGTGGAACTGGATATGCACTATTCATTACAAGAGCAATCACATATATGATATAATAAAAATAAGCAACAGTTCGAGTAGCTACTCAGAATTTGCATGGTAATTCTGTCTTCAATGGTATAAGGCACAATACAAAGCGACGCACAACTGCATGTTGAATAAAAAAATATCAGCTGTCACCTTTCCAGTGACCTTTTAACTTACTTACTTGCTTCTGTTATTAAAGGTTATAACGCGCACAGTGTTTCAAGCAATAAAAATATTTATTTTATTACACGTCCTGTCCAGAAACATTTATACAGGTTAACATTCTTTAATTCAAACTAAAGATACAATAAAATTGTGAATACTTTCATGCTATATATTATGTTAACTTCATTGACATTTTATTGCTTTATTTATACTTACATAATTTAACTTAAGATAAATATTATCACCTGATGTTAATATTGTTTAAGGTATATTTATAATACTATTTGACAGACCCCATATGAAGCCATGATTGCGGAAGATGCTGCTGTGGGTAGTACTGTCCTGCCAGGCATTAGACTCGCAGATGAGGATCAGGTCGGAGACAATATCAAAGTGGAATGTGAACCTATAAGTCCGGTAAGTCATTACAAGGTAGAGCCATCAATCTTTTGAGCTTGAGATGAGTCGTGCAAATCAGATTTGCCTGTGGTTTTTCTCTTTGCTATCCAATCTTATACCTACGACTCCACTCCCTCCTGAAAACCCCATATTAGGTGAGGATTATGACAGAAGTTTCTCTAGGAGTCTCAGTCATCACTCTCTTACCCCTCGTCCATCCATTCTTTTATATGTTGCTCCATTTTTCCTTCAAAGATACTAGTCATCTACCCTAATACATGATCCCCTTATAGTATAAGAGTCCAAGATAGGCAAGTGTGTTGTCAAGCAGTTATTTCATGTGTAAAAACCTAAGTGTAGTTACAGGATGAGACCTATGCTCATGGTGTATCACCTTCCCAGCACTCTGTCATATAACACTTTGAAACTACTAATGGTATTGGCCTCCACCACCTTACTTAACTTGTTCCAACTGTATACCACTCTGTTTGCGAAAGTGAATTTTCTAATATTTTTTTGGTATCTTTGTTTACTTAGGCTTAACAACTGTATAGCTAATGCAACCTAGTAGATGGGCTTTCAGGGGGGAGGGCCACCAGGGCTCCCCCAGAAGTGGTTTTTTCTCAACACTAAAACTGCTAACATTTTTTTTAGCAAAGAGAAATCTAAGTTGTTTCCAAATGTAAACTGAATATTTTATATTGCATACTGTATTACTATTAATTTATGTAATATGTGTCAATTTACAATACAGTACTGTACTGTACAGAATCACTTTATGTAATATGTGTAATTTTACAATACAGTAGTGTACGGAATGTTTATCAATACTGTACACTAATAAACTGTAAAGTACTTCAGTTAGAAAATATGCTGACTTCATTTATCTCTTTAATGACTACAGTATATTAAATGTTTTGAACCTTCCCAGGGTGGTGATGATTGCAAGGTATTTGCCATCGTAGCCTCTCAGACTTCTGCCCGTAAGTTCTCGGGCAGTCTAGTCCTCAAGCAACCTCTCCAGTACTCTGCTCGCAACCTTTACCAGTTCAAATTAGTTGCCACGGTGAGTGATATCATTTATTGTAAATTAAATTAATTACAGGTTTAGAAACTTTTTGTTTTTCAGGATATCCTTGACCGATCTTAAGCAAATTTCCCAAGAAAAAACTGGATAAGTCTTTGTATTGGTCAATAGTGAAAATCACTTGAATTCTGTTTGTTAAAGCTGATTGTCCAGAACCAATAGAGTAATATCTTCAAAATAATTATTTTGTAAATTGAATTATATGTCACATATGACTGCAAATTAAAGCAATGTTGGTTTTAGAGTAATGGGCAGACAGAGCCTTTATCATGTGTTATTATCTAAAAAACAACTTTAATATCATGACTGCAGGATGGCGGGCAGGTGTCCAGTGTGGGAGTAGTGGTGCGAGTGAGAGATGTGCAGAATTCCCCGCCCGTTTTCTCTGGTTCCCTCACTGGCATTGTAACTGAAGATGACCCTATTGGCACCCAGGTCATGACTCTTCGGGCAGCAGATGGTGACACTGGAGCGCCTAGGCCCATCAGATACGAACTCGTTACCAGTGAGTTCAACTTCAGTTACCAGTGTTGTTTTAACCATGAAGGTACCTGCAGTACCGCAATTGTCGCCTTAATTATTGTGATTGTTTCCAATAAAAAAAACATTCTGATAGTTTACTAAATATATTTTCATAAGTTATCATGTACCAGTATATTGGATCCCCATTATCTGAATTCCAGTTTTCTGGATTCTCGTGTTATATGGATATACTGTGTACCTATTCAGTTCTCCATTCTAATTAACTGGAGAGCCATATTGTTAATGGGAATACAGTATATTCCCATTATCTGGAGGCACATGTGTGTGGCAGTGTACACACACTGTGGGAGTGAATGCTTGGATCTCTGGCTGCTGTGAGTGGGATTATGCACCAGCAGACACTGGGTGGGCACTGGGTGTGTATGTTCCCACTAGCCACAGAGTAGTTGCTCGGAGCTCCGTGAACCAGCTTGGGTGAAAGTGTTGTAACTACAAGTAGAGATTTTTGGCCAGTATAATACTTTAGTACAAAGTATTTTTCTGTAAATAATATTGTAGAGTAATTTAACAAAATCAATGAGCATATAACTCCTTTGGTAATCTTTGATCACACTCCAGTGGCCAACAAAGAATGTAACAAACAATAGACTTTGGCACTAATAGTGTAAGTATTACATTATACATTGTACATTATATATTATACATTATAGCATTACATACATACATTAGTAAGTAAGTAACATAGTACAAATTTATAATTTCTGTATGTAAATATACAGTACTGTATTCTTATATTCAAAAACAATACAGGTCTTATATCTCCAAAGATACAGCAAGTAAATATTTCAGTGATTCCTACACTCAGTACAGCTGTAAGAACAGCAACAACAAATAATAATGTTTCCCTACATCTCCCTTTCTTTAGATCCACTGGACTTCTTTACTTTAGATGCTAAATCTGGTGAACTTCGCACTGCAAAACCGCTGGATCGGGAGGCCCTTCAGTCTCCAGATGGTGTGGTTAAGGTCAAAGTCAAAGTAAGCAAATTGAGTCAGATTCCTATACTGTACTGTAATTAGACAATTCCTGTGGTCAAGGGAGCTCAGGATTACTGTAGGTCACATTTGAGTTTTGCATTAAATTAGCTGTCTTCAAGATTAAACCATGTGACTTGATTGACTTGATCCATGCTAGGATGACTGGTCACTGTAAACTTGGCTGTGTAAACACGAGTTATTTGGGGCTCCTGAGTCAGTCACAATATTACAGAGTACTGTATGAGGGAAAAAGTAATTGAATGTAATGAAATGCCTCTTTCTGTGCGAGCCCCGGTGGCTCCCTGAAGTTATACTCAGAGCTTCACTACTAATACCACTAGACCACTAATAAATAAGAATACAGTCGGGACATGACAGACTACAACTTTACTGAACACCATAGTTGATGGGGCAATTTTTGGCTGGGTATGAGATCTGAGCAGGGATGGTTGTCTGAATGTTCCTTAACTGAACATCATTGTTCATCCAGCAGACAATTGGGACAAAGTTGATAGCCAATTGGTGGGTCATATCCCAGGAAGAACAAGTAAGGTAAGGCTTGAGATAAGATATGGGTAGACAAAGCTCTAAGCCACCTAACAAGTCACGAAAAAACACTTAAATTGAAACTGAAAGAGAACAGATGACTTACAGAAGTAAAAGGTTTATTTTGCTTTTTTTTTGCAATAAATTACAAGTTCAGTATTTTAAAAATAATCAAATTGTTTTTTAAAAGCGCTGTTTAGGAACATAACATACATACTGTACTTTGAAAATATGTACTGTATACTTTATACATAGATTTGTTAGCTGTGGAAAGAGACTTCTGCCAAGAACCGAAGACATCATTAAATTACCTATTTAATTTTAGAACATGGCCTATCAATGATTGGTAAAGCAGCAGGACACTGGGAGGTACCATGCAAGATGCATGGTACCTTCATGCATAATAAATGTTTAGGAATACTGCATCTACTTTTGTTTCTGCACCACTCTTGCCTATTTGCCACTTAAATTTGCCACTATTTATTTGCCACTTTTAATTTTGCCACTTAAAATTTGTAAATAATTTTAATTTCAGGCTTATGAGACAGTCAATGGGATCCCTGTAGGTACTACGGACACGGAAACAGTAGTGGACATAACTATCACGATTCGTGATGTAAATGATGAGCCTCCGTCCTTTAATAGACGAGAGTATCGTGCCTCTGTGCCAGAAAATGTTCCAGATGGGACTCCACTCCCGAACCTCGACATGTTTGTACAGGACACTGATGTGGTAAGGGATTAATGGTTGGTCTCTCTCTGCTTTAGTTTTCCAGAAAAAAATATAAAGGGAATATATATCAACACAATTTACACACAGCTATTTAACAGTTTCCAACATGTTACAGCATATACATATTATTTATGTGAGAAAAACCTGTCAAGACCTATGCATATTTCTTTCAGTATCCATTATTTATTTTTAAGCCATTATTAACTTCTGAATTTGCATAATAATTTCTCTTGCATCAAGTGTGAATTAAACCTTAGTATTGTACTGCATGTTATATTGTGTCATGTGCTAAATAAGGCTAAAATAAAGTGCATTTAGTAGTGCTCCATATGATGTATGGTAAATAATATTTTCAGTAATGATGATACAATGTCTTCCTTCAGGGGTCCAATTCGGTGTTCAGTTTACGACTGGTGGACTCTTCTGGAATTTTCACGGTGGAGCCACAGGTTGCCTCAGGCTCTTCCTCTGTCAGCATTCGAGTGGCTCATGGGCCCCTTGATTTTGAAAATCCCAACCAGCGCAAGTTCCTCTTGCAGGTATGCCAAATTCTTAAGGATTGAGTAAATACAGCTTGAATTTTATTACATAAATTTAATTTAATTTCCATTTGTACTCTCAAGATAACTAATAATGTGAGAAATGGTGTCAATTTTATGGTTTTCTCATAGTTGGTGATAGACATTGGCTAAAGAAACTGATAAACTTAACAGACTTACTATTCCTGATAATGGAAACTTAAAGATATCGTAATAATCCATTTACTCTTGCTTATCCATGAACTTAATCACACATCCACTTGCCCACCCTTCACATACCTTGCGGTTACCTTGTGATGATTTCGGGGCTCAACGTCCCTGCGGCCCGGTCCTTCACCAGGACCATCTTCCATTTGTTTATTTATCAACTCATCTTCTGTCCCTTCTCCCCCCCCCCCCACCCAGTCATTCATTTATTTACCCACCAACCATCCAGTTTTTTTAGCTTTACTCCACTACTTACTAATCC